AAAAGAATCTTTATAAGCTATGTACCTACTAGTCTTTTGTTTTATAATAATATTATTATGTTTTACAATTATTATTATTTAATTTTGAAAATAGTTAAACAGTTTTTCGAGTGTGTTAGTATAATATTATATTTACAATATTTAACATATATGAAAAAAAAATTTACTCATAGTCATACGCATAATAATAATATAATGTAACGTTTTTAATAATAGTTCGATGAAAGCATAATATGTGCCCTGGGCTCGATCACTATGTAATAATATATTAGGTATAATTATAATATAATATGATATTATTACAGATTATATTACGTTCATCATTATCATTATTGTTTTTATTTCAATTACGTGTTATTATGTTTTTTTGTTTATTTTTTTACTCATCTTCTCGTCTACGCACGACATTGCGTTTATTATTATAATTACTATAGTTTTTCTTTTTTGTTCTCCAAGAATGATATGATTTACCCGTTCTTCGCTGAACGATAATACCCTAACACTGTTGATATAAAGGACGCAAATAGGAGATGGTGGGCTCTGGGAGCGGGGACCTATTTAAAACTCTTGAAATTTATAACAAATGCATCCTACTTTTGAAATGTCGATTTTAACGTATCGATGATACGTCTCTCCCTCATCCCCACGAGATAATTTAAGCCATTTGTGCCTATATACGTATTATATACATTTGCGTGCTTTATCCTACGGTTGTCGGTTTCTATTGTTTTACAATATTATTACACATTTTTTTCCTATTTTTCGTACACATTTTTACGGCGTACGCATTGCTGGACGTTCCAGTGAATAACGGTATCTTAAAAATGTCACGTGACTTTTGTTCAAGTTTTTTACTTTTCCGATTTGAAATATCATTAATATTATTATTATACAGAAAGTATCGACGAAAAAATTGTGGCCCGGGGTATCTATTTATAATACGATATTAACAAGGCATTTTTTTTTTTTTTTCGTTAGCGTTTTTTTATACTATTATAATTATTATTATTATTATTATTATTATTATTACATTAGTTAAAATTGTTTTCTCGTATTATTAAAATATATAATATATATATATATAAATATATATACATACATACATATATATAGTATCATGATTAACAGTACATATTGATAGGTACTTATGCCTATAATACAATTGTAGTAACTGTCAAACCATATTAAGCTAATTGTTATGATGACAAGTATATTGTATATTTATATGTATATATATTGTATGTGTGTATATGTTCCGAAAACACGCGCATTACACGTCACACTCCTCATTTATGTATGAAATAATAGTTATTATCGCATTATACTATATAATACAACATTATATATAACTATATAATATGTCAATGATGATGTACATGTAATCCTCATATATAAATATTGTTTATTTTATCTTTTTTCGTTTGTTTCGTTGTTTTTGTTTTTTTTTTTTTTCAATGATAATATGTACCTAATAAAAAAAAAAAAAAAAAACAAAAGTAAACTAATATAAATGACCTAAACACTAAAACTGCGTGTACCTATGTATTATTTTGTTACAGTTTCCATACCTATGCACTTCTCTTTTATATAAAAATTCCACATAATATAATATTTTCCGTGATGTAATGTATGTCAAAAAAAAGATGGGAGAGTTGATAAAAAAATCAAATTTGAATTGGTCTAGTCAATTCAGTTATGTTAAGAAAGTCGAGTTATGAGTTAACACTTAGTTTCAACAATACACGTTTTAACTCTATAAGTGTAAAATTAATATGGATAAAAGTATTCAAACGTGTTTACGATTTAATAAACTTGAAATGTAGTAAAGATAATAGGTTTAGGGTATATAAGGCTACAGCTTACAATGATTTAAAAATTGCAATAATTGTTATTACATATTTTTATATTTTTATTTGTTTTTTTGTCGAAATATCGTAGTATTGTGTACTTTAAATTAGCTGTAAATATTTTTAAAAAAAGATATTATTTTTTAAACTTTATGATTTTTAAGTGGTGTCCATATATAACATGCTTACAATAACAACTAATAAATATAAACAACTGATAAACTAAAAATATTAACCTATATCATGTCGTATGTAACACAACTAGCTGTCACTAAGACACTAAACAATAAATATTATATCCTTAATAAAAACATAGTTTATTACACTCAGAGACTAGAGGTTTGAATTTTCGATTTTTATACATAAACATTTGAAAAAAAAAATCACTCAGCTTACAATTTATATTTATAGAACAAAAAAAAAAATAGTCTTCACTTGAAAAAAAAAGACTTGTATAACTTTATTATATAGGATATTAGTATGCCTCTTTCTCTTTACATCGTAAAAAACAATTTATTGAAATATGTTAAATAATGGTTTTAAAACATACTTTTCAATTTCAAAAATCGTAATCTGAATAAACTTATTATTTTTTAAATATAATTGATAAATAATTCTCTGTACATAAACGTATTCCGGTATTCGGATAATAATTAAAAATAGCTTAAAGTCGCGCGATACTGTAACAGTTAAAACTAGTTAAAAGCAAAATCCCGATATTATTTCAATCGGAAATACATCGGTCCTGTTCGTTTACGGGTGTATTGTGGGTGCACTGGCGCTTGCAAGATCTTGGCGTTAGTGCAAATGTTTACGAAAAGAAACACACACATATATATATACGCACACCAGGAAGTTTCGACGCGCTCGGCAGCCTGACTCGTCGAACTTCTAACTCAAAAAGAAATCAATTAAACTCGATAAGAATCTTGCTTCTACCCCTGGCCATTAGCGCCGAGCAGGAGGGACCTCGTCGAACTTGCATATATCACACGGTATATACCTACACACTCGGCCTCAATCAACATTCCTTGGATTAGTTTTAAAGCGACCGAATTACTTATGGCCCTCGACTGCGAGTTCAAGAGGGTGTGGAAGAAAAGACGAAAAGTCAACCGAAAAAAACCTCGTGCGTTATCTCCGTTCGTCTGAGCTCGATGACGAGAAGATGTAGTTTCGGTCACTCGATCGCCGTGCAAACGCGGAGCTCGGCAACCAGACGTGTACCTCACGTGTACAATGATTTGCGTATTATCGATGACGACAGGCAAAAGACGAAAACATTGATTTATAATATGAATACTGTACGAGTATAGTGTAATAAGAATAACGTAAGTAAAATGGTATAACCAAATAGTAATAAATAATACGTAAAAATTATAATACTTACATAATAAGTGAAATCGATTTTATCGAGTTGAGTATTCTTCTAGTTACCTTCGGGTTTTCCGGTTTTCGTTAACTTAATTACTAACTTCACTTAATTGTTTTATTATTATTATTATTAAACAAACGTGAAATCAACGAAATATGTTTGTATTTTAAAATTTTATGTTAAATAATTTTCAAATTTAATTTAATTATATTACCCTTCAGTCGATTGCGTTTTAGTTTGAAAAAATATGAGTAATGTTTAGTTTAAATTATTTATTATTTTTTTTTTTTTTTACGTGACAAAAATTTTCAACGAAGTATACTACATAGAAACACTATACAACTTCTTTGAGTCTTTAAATATACGAAGTTTACTGTAATATTCTAAACCAAAAAGAACCTTTTTTAACTTAATATATTTTTTATATATTTAGTCTGAGACCTGTGAAGGTTACTCTAATTTTTGTGGAACGTTACAAAACCTTTCGGTGAACGTTATATTCTTATGTGAGCATTGGTGCTTAAAATGTAGATTACTGGAATGTCTATAACAGTTTCTTATACAGTGCTAGATATAAATACTAAACACATCGATGAGTGGAAATACTATTTAAAGGCAAGTTAGAAAATACGTAAGAAAACATTCAGCAATAATAGAACGGTATCGAGCAAATATCAACAGGCAACAATATACAAGCTGAGTATTTCAATTACGTATACTGCAAAATATATCGCCCAGCCCTAATTGGATTTGGAATCATGTTTTGCAGAAACCTTTGCGAAATCACAATCCAATACAAAGTCCCCAAATTAAGCACTCTATACGCGATACTCATTATAGTATACGTCATGTTAGTGATGGGAAATAAATAGGTCGACGGTTTTTATTATTGTATAAGTGATTTATTTATTGTTGAAATACGCGTGTCGGTAAACGTTTTGACGAATTTCTCGAATCAAAAATATTGAGGTCATGAGTTGTGTCAATGAATGCTTTGGGGTTTTCGAACGAGCTTGTGACAAAATCTTTAATGTGCAGTCAGTGCTACTATGAGCGATAATGTAAATAATAACGTTCATGATTTATTGTAATTTACCAGAACTTTGTGATTATTCGATTTATTAGTTCGATAAACTGTCATTGTACGTGATATTTGTTTATTTGCATTAGTCGAAGAGATAACAGTTTATAATTTTTTTAAATCAAACACATTTTTTTTAATGACAAAGTAAACATATTTTAAAACTGTAATACCTATCATGATTGTACAACAATTATAAAAACCAACAAATTATTATAAAATATAATAACAAATTATGTACATTACATCAGCTTGTCTTAAAAGTTGTGGATTATTTTAAATTTAAACGATGTAAAATATATTTCAAAATTTGAAAAAAGCGGTAAGTGAGACGTGTTTTGTACGTCACCGACCACGGTAACAGTAATAAGACACTCGCTCCGAATGACGTGATAAGACGTCATCAAAAATATGTTATCTAACCATTCGCCAAATAAAAATATATTGATAATATTACATTATTTTCATAACTTTTTGATTAACAAAATAAATATATTATTACTATCCAACCCTGTACGATACTTTCACAGTTTCGTAAGTTTCGTTATCGTGTACTGCATAGTGTTCGTGTATGTTGTGAACCGTTTTCGTTGTATTAGTTTAAAGAGTACGATTTGATAGGTTTTAAGAACCCATCGCTGATAACTTAATGTTGGTTTGAAATAAACCTTTGGCTTAGGGACATTTTGTAGCGACCATGTCCAAAGTATCCATTTTGAATTCCGTATTTTCGGAAATCGAAAAATTGGACTCGGCCGAAGAATACAAAAGAATCATTAAACTCGTCGAGAAACGTGAGTAGTTGTTATAGTTTTTATTCTTTTATTTTTTTTTTTTTTGTCTTAAACATTGATTGTGTGTATCTGTTGTTTTCAGATATTCCTCAATTTCCCGAAGAGTTATCGTTGGTTCAATCAAAAGTCGTTTGTCTGATCCATCTGAATCAGATCGAAGACGCATACAACTACATACTGAAAAATGAAGCATCACAGTAAGTGATTTATAATAACTTGTTTACAATTTTCATTTACCTACCATTATGTATTTTCATTTTCTAGGAAATTTGCATTTGAAAAAGCTTATTGTTTGTATCGTTTAAATCGCTCTGAGGAAGCATTAGAGTTGATTAATGAAGAACCTAATCCTGCACAGAGTTTTAAGGAGTTAAAAGCTCAAATTCTTTATAAATTGGAAAGGTGAGATAACCTACTTAATATTTTATATGTAACTTGTGTGCTCAATAAATACTCATTTGGTATATTATCAACAAAATATATTATTTAAGCCATTTCTTAGTAATAAATTATTCTAATTAAATAAATACCTAATAAGTAATCGTTAATTCATTAAAATTCAAGATCCTTTGAAAATTATCTAGTATTATGCTTTTGAATGTATAAGATTTGTACCTAATCAAAAAACCAAATAAGTAAATTTATAAATTATATTTTGTGTAGTTGATTGCCATTCCTTTTTTTTTCCTGTTAGTTTCTAAAAAGACTAGTTGTAACATAATTATGTTTATTTTTATGTCGTTTCGACCGTCCAAAAACTTAGGCCAACAAACCAAGGTTCTTAGTCAAACCAATAGTAGTTGAGATTATTATTTGTTTGATCTCTATTAAACCTATACATTTATCTTTACCTAGCTTAACTATTTTTTTTTTATTTTTTGAAGTCTGAACACAATTTTAAAACTTATCTTACTATGTAGACTTAATATAAATAAAATATAGATTAAAAAAATACTACAAAATATAGTGTTTTGTAATTTATATTACATTGTTTTTAATTATTTTAGGTACAATGAATGTTTTGATATGTATCGAGATATTATCAAACAAAGTAAAGACAGTTTTACAAATGAAAGGGAATCAAATCTAACTGCTGTTATTTCTCAACTTTCTAAATTAGGAGATGTAAGTTTTCCAGTTTATTATAAGTCATACTCAATTCAATAACTAATTTTATATTTTATTTTTAGAATAAATATGACATTCCAACTGTCAAACAACATAATACTTACGAATTTATGTATAACATTGCATGTGTACTAATTGATAGAAAAGAGATTGAAAAAGCTCAAGATTTACTCGATCAAGCTGCAAAATCTTGTAGAAATACATTGGAAGAGGAAGAAGCAACCGAAGAGGAAATTCAAGAAGAACTAACTGCTATTAAGTAATCATAATTTGAATTTTATATATTTTATATAATATATATATCACATTAATTTTATGTAAATTTTTTTGTCATGAAATTGGCTTCCACTTCATAAAGCTCTACTACATCTCTACATTATACATTTAAACATATTATGATTAATATGATAGATTACATTTTACAATTTTCAAACTAGTATTACGTTAATCGTTTGAAAATAAACAGCAAAAATGTATTTTTGTACTAAATAAAATATAATTGTATTCGATAAAATACAATATATATTTTCATTTCTATATAATTTTAATCTATAGATTTTAACATAAGTAGTATTAACAAAGCAATAGATTTTTTGTTATCGAATTGGAACTAATCCATTTTTTTTTCAGAGTACAAGGGGCTTATTGCTTACAAAAATTAGGCCGTGATAAAGAAGCACAATCTGAATACACTGAAGTATTAAAGTATAAGCCAAAAGATATTGGATCTTTAGCTATTGCTTCAAATAATTTAGTAGTATTAAATCGAGAGCATAATGTGTTTGATTCGAAAAAAAAACTCAAGTCAACATTGTCTGATGAATTAACTCACAAGTTGAATACCTGGCAATTGAAAAAAGTCATGTTGAACCATTGTCGTTTTGCATTAATCACTAATCAAGTAATAAATGAGATAATCATATAAAATACAAATATATTTTTAAATTCTAAATATTTATTTTATTTTTTTATTTTAGTTAGACCAGTGTACTCAATTATGTGACAACATTGAAAAGAAATACCCAGACCTAATTGAGGATATTATACTATTAAAAGCAGTAATGCTATGGCGTCAGAACAAAAATTCCGAAGCTATTGACATGTTGAAGAAGTTTGTTTATCAACAAAAAAATCCCACTGCTAAACTCAATTGTACCTTGGTGGCCGTAAAATTATTATTAGTGCAGGTAAAAATTCATGTATTAATGATGGATTAAAACTAATCAATATTTATTTTTAATTTTAGGATTTTTCTCTAACACTAGATGTTTAAAATATCTTATTTTAAGTAAAATTGTCCTTGTGTCATGTTCCTTTCACCTTTGCCCCTATAAATTTCCCACTAATAGAAGCATTTTCGCTGTTTTTGTTTTTAGAACAAAGCCTTGTTTTAATCATGCTATTTCCACATTTAATAACTATAATCATTTTCAACTTGAGTATTAAAAAAGTTAAAATATTAAACAGAGCGCTAAATTAATACCTCTTTAGTGCATTATGTGATATATTTTTCCTATCTAATTTAAATAGTCAGGTTAAAAAATTAGAACTATGAAAAGTAGTTTATATTGACTATTTACTATGTGTTTATATTGATTTTTGTTTTTCTAGAACGATACTAATGAAGCAATTACTTTATTAGAAAATCTTGGGGAATTGAAGTATAAACTTGGAATTGTTAGTACACTTGTTACGTTGTACTTAAATGTTGACAATTTTAAAGCGGCTTCTGACTTATTTAATGACACTTTGTCTTGGTACAGTCAGAAAGAGGTAACATTTTATTCTTATTTAACATTGAACACAATTCTTGTGAATGGATTTTACATTATTATACTTCATAGGTGGATAATTCAAAGATTACCATTTTATTAAAACAACTTGCCAAATTACATTTACGAGAACAAGATCCTAAGGAAGCAGCTAAACGGCTGTCACGACTACTTGAATTAAATCCTAATAATAAAAAGTTTTTGGCACAACTTATCATCGCTTACACACAGGTTTGATTAATATATTTTTAACATTTATTAATCATTATAAGTTTCATTATTCAATTGAATTTCAAACTAAATTTTATTTTTCTTTAGAACGAAGTATGAGTAATAATCACAATTAAGTATAATAAAATAAAATTATAAAGCAGTATTTATACTGCTTTTATTCCCTATGTTACCTTTATATAAAGACAAGCATACAACAGTTCAGTTTATATAAACCAGTAGTAAAGTGTGTATAAATCAATTTGATGTTTAAAAATATGAGTATGAGACACACTTACCAGTATATGTTATATTTATATAATTTTCTTTATGATTATAAAAAATTATTTAAATGATATTTGATGAGTTTCATAAAAAAAAAAAGCTATTTTAAGATAAAATCTAGATTTTTCATCAGTGATTTCAATCAATTTTATTGTTTTAAAGTTAAATGTCTTATCAATGATTCTTCAAATATAAATGTTGATATAATACACTGTTTATTACTGTAAATTAAAATACATTCAATAAAACTACTAATTTATTATGGATTAATTATTTTAACTTTGGTAGTTACTTTAATAACTTTAAAAGTGTAAATTGTAATCATTATTTTTACTTTTAGTTTGACCCAGAAAAAGCTCAAATGTACAGTAAACAGCTTCCACCATTGGACCTCCAAGATACTGACATAGATTTACTTGAAAATACTAACTGGATGATGGGATCTAAATTAATCAAAAAATCCACATTGAAACCAGACTTTGCTGGGTAATTATTCATTAGTATCTAATCATCAATCAGAAAAAATTGGAAACAAAATTTAACCCCATAATTACAATATTCATTTAATAATGTATATAGCTTTGATTGGAGGTTTTACTACCATATTAACAAGATGGATTAATTCTACTTTCTTTTTCAATTAAAAGAATAATATGTATTAAGTCAAACCACAAAAACTAGTAACCTTTTATTAAAATATTCTCTTTAAGGCCATCATATCGTATACAGTCTACCGGTGAATTAATGAATATAGTATTAGAACTATTGTTTATTTTCTAGTATTTCAAAATCCTAAATTGTAATATTTGAATTATAATTCCAAAAAAAATCTAAATTTATTTTTAAAAAAAAAAACATTTTTTTTAAATCTTCATATATATACAAAAACTTTTGTCATATATATCTCAAAAATGTATAATTTTAATGCTAATCAAAGGTAAAAATACAAAAAATTATCTAAAAAGTTCTTGTGAAATACAAATTATCTAGTAATAATAAATAAAGATAGCTAAACACTATAATAAATAATATGAAGATAAAACGTTTATATTATCTTCCTTATCCTAGCTGTTTATTATTTGACTTCTTTTTTATTTGAAATGTAAGATTCCTTTATTTGTTTCTCTTTTTTCATAATTACATTTAAATTCATCTCACTTTAACACTTATTACATTCAGTATTTCCATTATTGTCAAAACTTTTTTATTAATTAACGAATTAATATTTGATTCATTATTACTTTATACTTAAGATTAAATAAAAATTGTTTGTCAAAATATTAAGTATATAACTGTTTGAAGGCCATGCAATAAATTATTACTAAGCATTTGAGCCTACACTTTTACGAAGTGTCAAAGTATTGTTATTGAGTCATAAAATTATCATTAAGGTAAAACATAAATGTCTATTAAAGATAATCATAAATCCATGTAAAAATCAGCAGGTTGCAAACAACAGTCAGTTGAACATTGCGGGTAGACTGCATGTAATGTGACAACTGTCTTTAATACTTAAAAAATAATAATTGATTCAATATCATCAAATGTTTTTAAAATATTTATCTCTAGCTATTCAGATAATCGAAAAAGTACATAGATAAAATTTCCAATTTATGAAAACTTCTATACTAAATAATTTTCATACGTATGACCATAATTAAAAATCATACCATTTCTAAATTTCCCACTTTACCAAACTCAACTCGCGTGCCAATATATCACAAGCCAAAGTCAATATTTATTTTATTATTATTAATATCTTATTAATTATATAGATCCAAAACAGAAGTTGAGAAGAAACGAAAGAAAAAGAGAAAGATTATACTGCCCAAAAATTTCAACCCAGACGTACCTCCTAATCCTGAACGTTGGTTGCCGAGACACGAGCGTACTGGATATCGCAAGAAAAAAGATAGGAGAAACAAGGAAACAGGCATCGGAAAAGGAACGCAAGGGGCCAGCAATGTATCAAGTGAACAATTGTGAGTTTAATTTGTATTTAATAATGACCAATTATTAATTTATTTTCACACATTATATCAATTACTTTCAAGTCATAATTCTAATGTTGACGTAATTGCTATAATTGATTAGCTACATATTTTTAAACAATTTTAAAATATGCTTGAATAAGCAATTATGATTTATCATTCATACTAATAAAAAAAAAAAAAAAATTATCATAAGGTCAATATATTAAATTAAATTAATTATAATCAAGTGTTAAATTTAAATCAATCATTTCATCATTTCAAAAAATTTAAAGATTGGTAGAGTTAGCTCACTACCTAAAGTATATTAAAAAAAATTGTTTTATTTTATTAAAACTTCATTATTATCTAAAATTACAAATTTTTGAAACATAATATCTTAAAATCAATACATTTTACCATTATTTAAATTTAAATATTTTTTTTTGACAATTTTACTAAATTTTATTCTTTAGAACTAATAACATTTCCCATTATTATGAGAGTATAAAATAAATAAAATTTATAATATTTTATTTTGAAATTTGTTTATTTAATTTTAGTGCTAACATTATGTACTTAACATACATACTGTAAATTTCATGATATTCGAAAAAAATTGAATATTTTGTATTATTATATTTTTTAGTAACATCAAAAATATTGCGGCTCAACCCAAACCTCAGACTGCTCAAGTGCCTTCTGAGAATGCACCCAGACTTCAACACCGAAAAGGAGGACAATATAAAAAGAAGAAGAAGGGAAAATGATTGCACCATTTGTTACTTCCCAATAAACAATAATATATTATAAATAATTATAGTATAAATATCAGATTTTTCATCAACAATTGTTTTAATATATTTCCTCATCTATTCCATTACATATAGAGTTATTGTAAAATTATAGATTATCATTTGGCCCTAAGACTTCAATTCCATTGTGTAACAAACTGAATTTCCTTACACACAATTTTTGTTCAATTTTACTTCATGGAGCAGAAACTTTAGTCGCCAAACCACATTTCTGTTTATAGTAATCAGGATTAGACAGACATTCAATCATAAACTTCCCAAGATCATATTTCGATATGGCGCGACCAGGTGATGAGCCGATTTCTACGCTGTAATCGCCTGACGGAGTGCTGGCGATGTGTGGTGGCATCACAGCAATCCAATTCAAAGATTCGGTTGCTTGCAACAAATTCAACATCCGTTCATGATCATCGTTGATGCCATGGAACATTGCTGGCACTTTGGGCTTATCATAGAATAAAAAGGCTGAAATTAACCAAGTGTTTAATGGTAATAATGAAAAAACATGTGCGTAGTGCTATAAATATTGCATAAATAATTACTGGATAAGCACACCGATACAATTTTCACACTGTTCTTTTCCATCGCTGACAAAATGTTTCTCAACCCATCTGACATTATTGTGGTAGGAGCTACAAAAGTAATTTCATTACTAAATGAACATAATATGATTGGTCACATACCTACTTAATACTCACTAAATGTGTATCTAATATTATATGATTAAATATTATCTTACCCAGATCGTTTCTGGTTCCTAAAGTCACGACGACCGCGTCTCTGCCCTCGACGACCTTGTCCACATCTTCTTTGACCAGAACATCGCCAGTGACCACTTCTACTTTCTTACGAAGTTCTTCGGGCATGCGACTGGGATCTCGCAGTAGAGCCCTGACTTCTAGACCTACGCGAGCATAGTTTCTTAAGTATCATATTCCGACAAATTATCAAAGAACCGTCAGCTCGGCAATATTCTAGATAATTTTATTGCTCCTTCAATTCTTACCTAGTTTCAAAGCGGCTTCGACGGTGCACAGTCCCGTCATGCCGGTGGCACCAAAAATCGCGATTTTCTTCATTTCTTTGGTCGTTGGAGTATAACAACTACGGGACAAACCACCAACGCTTGTTAAACGTCGACGACTTTGAACTGAGAAACGTGAATGTCGTCGAATAAATTGACGATTAAACGCTACTTCAATGCCGGCCGAACGATGAATCGACACAATTGAAAGTATTTATAAGTATGACGACTGACGGATAGCAAAATAATATTAATAAAAATCACGTTTCATTATAATTTTTAATGATATGCATCCGGTCTTGACCGCCGTCGGTTTTTTTACTGTTATCACTTGACGTGTCTACCAGCACCCGCCCGCCCATCGAGGCGTTATCATTCATTCCATAAACACGGTTAACAGTTATGTCTGTCGCGTAATAATATTTCCGTGTTATGATTGTTTCAAACACCAAAAATTGTAATACCAATAATAGATAAATGTTTAAATTCACAATAATGTCATTCTATCTATTAGCTAGTATTTATTATGTACTAATAAATACAATTAACATTTATAAAAGTATACAATAATAAGCTATTAACACGGCTAGGATCTATATATTGCAATAAAAAATTAAAAATATAAATAATAAATTTGGTTTATTAAAAATATGCAATTATTATAATAAATGCCAAAAAATTAAATCTACAATCAAAAAAAAATCATACGTTTAAAAATAAATAAAATAATATTCTCAACTATTCGTGCTATTCAAATGTATTACACAAAACTGAAAACAATTACATTTGTGTTTTAAAAATTAAACGACCTTCTCTTTGACCCTGTTGTTATATTTAGGCATTTTGAATTCTTGAACAGCGTCAATACTCAATACACATGTCAAACAATAAAAATGTTTATTAACGAAATATACCATAAAACATGCATTTTTCGCGTTTTTGTAGTAAAAACAGTGCTTGATTTTTTTTTAGCGTACCCCTTCTATTTGCCCCCCACGGTAATGTGTCGGTTAATTTTGTGTGGAACGCTCGTTTATCAAACATCCGATGAGTCCCCCTTCTATTTTTTTTCTAAATCAAGCACTGAGTAAAAATATGTAATAATATTAATTTTATTAAAAATACGCATTAATATACATTTGGTCCAAAAATATATAGCATAAAAACACCACTGTTTACCTATCTTGTCATGAGATGATTCGTAGACATCACTGACAAAAGCAATAATCAGAAGTTACAAAAAACATAGGTACTGTCACATATAAATCTTAACCCTAGATATAATCTAGCACTCGCTATTGCGTTGATATATGCATTGCTTTGGTCAACATAACATAGTTAAATCAATCAATTACATAATTTATACAAACTCACATAGTCACTTAATAGCGAAGTGTAAATGTAAACTGTATTATGGCTGTGTACTATGGTAATATAGTACCAACACAATGGACAAACATAGGTACCTACCTATTGTTTATTAAAGCGAAACTGTGTACATTTCCACACCACCTTAGATTTTATATCGAATAACAAATCCCTGTAACTACTTTACCGGATATGTTATATATAAAATCATGAGGTATTACACATAACGGCGCGTTTTTTTTAGTGTGGTATCCCCAACGTAGGCCTAATCCACGTTTATTAGGTAAGTAAACTTAATTACAAAAACATAGGTAGTACAATAAGTACATACAAAATCATAAATACAAAAAAATAAAAACAAAATAAGCTTAATAATAATATGATAACCAAGTAAAATTTTTCTTAGCCTCGATTCCACAAAATGGATCGTCCGTTAATCAATGCGTCGAACGCTGTTTTAAATTGATTTAATAGTTGAACTATTTATATTATCTTAATTACCAAAACAAAACAGGTTCACGATCAATATAATAAGTACAAAATTGTGGTGTCAACGTAAATTGTAAAGAAAACTAAAAAAATATGTACCTAAAGGCTAAAATTATAAAGAATATTATTACCTACCATAAAAACAATGAGTACACATGTCATCTTTCGGTACTTAAGCAATCCAAATTTTCATATAGGTACATTTAAATAAATAACACTTATTCAACTAATTAAATTAATAAAAACAATTAAAAGACTATTCAAAACTATTAAAAATACAAAAATAATAAACTTGCAAACTAATTTAATTTACAAATCAAAATTTATCAAACAGTTACAATGTATTAAAAAATATTCATAAAATAATAAACTACACAAACGTATGAAGCGTTGTCAAGGAAACCGCATAAAATATAGAACTAATTTTTACATCCTATTATTTTACATAATATATATAGTTATTTTATTCCAAATTATGTTTTTTTAGATTTTTAATTTCAAACGCAGAATATTAAAATATCAACCATTAATTTCGTTTCTATTTTTCGAAAAAAAAAAAAAAGGATTACTGAAGTGATTCAGAGTGACATGTTAACTTTTTTTTTTAATTTTATAATAAATTTACAATCTATACAGTCAGTGGGGGGAGTTGAGTATTGTAACCCCTCCCTTATTGATTTATATTTAATTATTTTAATATTTTTAGTTATTCAGTAAATTAGCGATCAAAACAAGAAGACTATGGTTAATATAATAAAGTTAAAATACTTTTACATTACAAACAAAATAATTCTAATTAAAATGCATATTTTGAATGACTTCTTTTTTTTGCTTTCTATGTTCTATCCTGATATAATTTTGAGTTGTCCGTTTCAGGTAAATCTTAAGCCCCCATTCGAAAATAACTCTGTATCACGATTCTATACATACGTTGTATCCGGTAGAATTATAATTAGTCTTAACATCCCAGCTTACAGGACTTAGTTTGGTAATTGGACCGGGTCTTAACATATCCGCTAGTAATTTAAGTCAAGGTATCCCCAAAAAATGTACACTTCTGTAAATAGAGGTTGTTTATTGAAATGGATAATCGTTGAGCGTTGAGCTGAAGAATGCACACTTCAATTCAACGATTCTGGGAAAATCGAACTTCATCGTTACCAGTACAAAAAAAAAATGAAGCAAAACTTTGTTAACTTTCATTTATTTAACGATCTCTTTCAACGTATTGATCCATCATAATTGGTAAGTTTTTTTTTATAATTATAAAATAATAAAAACAATGTTTTTAAAACATACTTAATAAAGTAATTAGATTTATAATGAAATTATTCAAACAAATGTTAATAAGCTATAATTATGAGATTTATAAAGTGAAAAAAGATTTTTATTGATTATATTAAGTAATAAAGTTTATTAAACCTAGTTGGTTTATGTAAATTAAGATTTATAAAAATTATTTGTGATTTATTAAAAAAAATATGCTTCTTAAAGTTTATAAGAGAAATTATTGAATTATATTCAGTTTTAGTTAAATATGTTAATTTGATAAATAAATGTTACATGAGAATAAATAAAAACAACAAAAGTAAAAGAGTTTAATTTATATAATAAAAATTATATGAATAAATAAAGGAGTTGTGTTGAGAATAATAAGTGAATAATACAAATATTAAACAAAGATACTATTAATTTTATAAAATCATGTGATAGTTGTCAAATTAATAAGAGAATAATA